TTTCCCTCTCCCTGTCTCTTTTCTCTGTCTCTCTCTGGGGAGTGCATGTGCCCTCTGACAATTAAAAATTAAAAGAAAACAATAAACATTTACTGGAAGAGGAACCAGGAATGTTAGTGCCTGTGTTATACTTATTGGCAGTCGGTCTTGAGCAAATTGCTCTCCCTTCTAGACCTCAATTTTTTTTTTTTTCTAATTTCAAGTCTGTTTATTTGGACAATAGGAACACTGGCACTCCCAACAGGGTCCCTAGTCATGAGCCATCCCTACTCCCAGCCTGGATCATAGGCACGTGCACACAATCTGGCAGCGTGCACAAGGACCTGAGTCTAGGACCTTCCCATGCGAGACAGCATGGCAGAACCTTGTGCTACCACCGCATCACCACACCAGCTGACTCCCAGCCCTGATTTCTCTACCAGTGAAGTGAGGATTCAGAGTTAGGGAATGGCTTAGGAGCTTTAGTTCAGATTATCAATGAACTTCAGCCTGCCTTAGACAAAAGAGGATGGAACTGAACAGAGAATAGCTGACACTCTTCCTGATCCCCTGAGAAACACAGACGTCTGACTGTTCTCCCTCTCTCTCTCTCACTCTCACTCTTATCTTTCTGTTCTCTCTTTTGGTCCCTCTCTCTTCCATTCTCTGACCTATGGGTTTGTGTGTAGTGTATCTGTCTGTCTGTTTCTCAGCCTCTCTATCTCTGTCTCTGTGTGTGTGTCTCTTCCTCTTCTACTGTGATCTGGGGGTTTGTATATGATTGAATACATGGCTCTATTTCTCCCTCTCCCCTCCCCCCTTACCTGCTCCTTCTTCTCCACATCAGAGACCATCACTTTCTCCCTCTCACAATGAGCCCCTCAGTCCCTGCCTGGTCCCCTAACAGCTTTCAGATGTGTCTCTGGAACAGTTCTACAATTACACTGAGACAGGCAGAAAGCTCATGGCCTTGTGACTCTTGACCCAGGCCTGTGAGGTTGACATCTTCCTCTTTTTTTCACGCCCTGGCAGGGTGGCCTGAAGCCTCCTCCATCCTGAGGCCTCTACTAAAATCTTTGATTACTGTAATAACAAAAATAGAAACTATTAGGGAGCAAAGATTGAAATGGGCCAATAATTATCATCCTTGTACCATGGAGTCTTGCGTTTCAACTTGTGAGATATGGATAATTTCACTTTATTTTACAGGTAAGATATTTGAGTCTCAGAGAAGGTAGAGTGACTTCCCAAAGAATTCTCAACCAGCAATTGGAAAAAGCAAGGATTCTAACCAAGTTTTATAACATGAGCACCTAAGACCACTTCTTCCTGTTATTTGTGCTGCTTGGCTAAGCAGAGAACTATTGTATAACCCCGTAGTTGGGATTCAGCAAAGTGTTGCCCTAGACTCACTTGGCAGAATAAATGTATCAAAGTACACAGAAACTAAGTGGTCTATGGGAAAATCAAAGTGTTGACAACCAACTCCTCATGTTTTGAGGCTCCATTCACATATTCCACTCACTGCAACAAGACTTCTATGTTTCCTTCAGTTGACATGTATCTTCTTCTCTTCGAACTCCAAGAAAATGTCTTTTAAAACTGTGTACTCTTGCACAGGTCAGTGCTCTATACCAGGGCTTTATAAAACTTTCCTCTTACAAGCCACTTTCTCATTTACACTCCATGAGACCTTTGAAACAGCCATGGATTGTCTGTAAACTTCTCCCCATTTCATTGAAAAAGGAACTGACACTGAGAAATGGGATGCTGTACGTTCACATCCATTCATTTACACAAGGATTTACTGAGTGGGCACTATGTGCACAATTCTGTGTTAAATGACAGCAATATAGCTGTGCTCAAACTGATGCCTAAACCCTCTGGGGCCTTTAGGCAAGGCTTTGGATCTTGCCACTGCCCCTTTAAAGATGGGTTGGTGTGCAGAAGGTAAGTGCTTATACAGTGTTACTCAATACTCTTTGTTTTTTTTCTTAAGGTTTTTGCCATAGGGCATGTGTGCTAGTCAGAGAGAGACAGAGAGAGGAAAAGTGAGTAATCCTTCCCTGTGCAGGGTGATCATACCACAATTCCTTCTCCATTTCACCTCTCAGGGTTTCGGGCATGCATGCACATGCGCCCTGTGTGACTTTCAAGCTGCTGGGTCTGGGACTCGAACTTTTATCAGCAATGTGGGAATCCAGTGCCTTAACCACCATGACACCTGCTGCCCCTAGCAAGACTGTTCTTAAACTCCCCTCATTTTTTCACTTCTTACTCTCACATCCCAGAGTTTCTTTGTGATCTTGTTCCCAAATCTTTTGCATGCTTTTTAGTGATAGGTCACGTCATTTGTAATTTACATCTTCACATTTACATATTCACATATCCGTCTCTACTATAGAGGGAAGTAGCAGTCTTCTTGTCACCAGTGCCTGGTGAGGAGAGGTGACATAAATTCAAAAAGGTAAAGTGACTAATACAAGGTCACAAAGCAAAGGAGAAAAACAGGAATGTGAACCCAAGTCTGGTCACCTCCAAAACCCAAGCTCTTTCCTTCCTTATTTCCTTTATACTATGAAGTTCTAATTCATTATATGTGTTTAAAAACAACCTTTGAGGTGCCAAGTCCTGGGAGATCCAAGCTGAGTGCACTCAGGGAGATGGCTGAGTTTAGACCCTCTAAGCCAGTGATGGGTAGAGCTGAGAGCAGAGTGTGGGCTTTAGAGAAGACAGAGGTTTGGCTCTTTCATTTTCTGAATCTATGACTTTAAGCAAATTGCTAAATTTTTTGATCTTCAGTTTCCTCTTCTGAACGAGAGACATAATAAGGGTAATTATTTTAGCACATTTTCCTAAGGTTAAAAAAAAAAAAAACATGTGAAATGACATTACCTCAACATAGTTGGGGTTCAGCAAATGTCGCTAATGGAATTATATTTGTGCAGGGTGGATATCCACAGACCTGCACCCAGAAGGCAGTCATTGACAGTGGTTAAACGCATAAGCTTTGGAGTCAGACAAACCTTGGCTTAAACCTCCACTTCCAGTCATTACCATGTGGTTCTGGCAAGCGTCCTCCCCTTTCTGAGCTTCATGTATAAAATGAAAAGAAAGTAACAGTATCTGTCCTTTGAGATTACTCATGGGAATTAATTGTGACAATGTGGGTAAAACTGCTTAGCTCAGTGATTGACACATATTAAGGTTTTAGCACATAGTAATTAATTTGGACAACCACATGGCCCTCCTTCCATAAGCCCAGTTCTTTCTCACTGGGCAGGTCTCAAGTCAAGCCTTCCCCCCTCAAGAAGGCCTTTGTGGACCATTCTGTTTAAAGCACATGTACTGCACACTCCCACCTTCATCTTGTTCACATTATCTCGTTATATTCTCCATCACACTCACCATAGTCTGAGTTTTTACTTTTCAGTTAGCTTTATGTTAGCAGAAACCTTGACTCTCTTAGGTGCCATAACCTTAGCACCTAAAATCGTCCCTGGCACATGGCTAACGCTCAATAAATATTTGTTACATGAATAAATGAAGGACTATGCAAATAAATATATCCAGCAATACAGAATAGCATTGAGGCTTATTCCTCAGCCCCTGCACTGACTACCAGTTTGGTCCCTCAGTAACTGGAACACTTTGGAAAAATACATAATCTAGGTCTCAGTGTCCTCATTGATGAAATGTGATTGATAATAGATCCCTGACTTTTAGATTTGCTTAATTGCACATTTGAAGATTAAGTGCAAAATGCCTCATGGGCAGTCAATGTTTAATAAATGCTTCATAATTATCCCCCTAAAAAATAATTTTTCCTTAAGCTGAAGCATTTCTGAATTCTTTTGATCACGACTACTGTGCCATGGTTTTGTGCTCCCCCATGAATCTTCTAGAACCTTTGGTGAAATCACAGTCTATTTTCTTTCTTCTTTTTCTCACTGTGCTACAGGTTTACTCTATATGCTGTGGATACTCGGGGGAGGCACTCAGAGCTTAGCACAGTGACCCTGAGGACGGCCTGTCCACTGGTGGATGACAACAAGGCAGAAGGTAGGTGACCCATTTCTTTACTTCCCAGATAGGACCCATGTATTTCACCTCTCAATTATGTACCCAATAGTCACTAACCACCAAACACACACACACACACATTACCACAGGTAGAAAGTGACGGAACCAAAGGAGCTTTCTGGGTGAGAGAGAGGCATTTCCACAAATGGCTCAACAATAAGCTTCATAGTAAGAGGAGATAGTGAGCTATTGTGTCTCAAAAGGGAGGGAATTTGATCTATCTTTCTGTTCATATTTAAGTTATTATTTTATAATAACATATGATTTCTAAAAGTAAGAAAAATAAAAATCATCATAGAAAATAGTACAAAGTAAATGACTTTCCCATCTTCACCCAAAATCACCCAGATTCTCCTCTAACTGTCGTTAGTGATGATTTCGGGACATACAGATTTTGATCAGTCATCAAAGCTGAAAGAATGTGGCTTCTATTAGTATTGAATTTAAGTTACATTGGTTAGTAGGAGTGGCTGGAGGAGTAGGAACGGCCATGAATGCATAACAGAAGAGTCTGGATTTTAAACCTACAGACCTGATCACAGAAATGCATTGAAAACATTTCAGAGGGGAAATAGAAAGAGGCGGTTGGGATGAGCCAGCAGGTTTTTTTGTTTGTTTGTTTTCAGAGAGATTTTTGCAATGGTGCGCACGCGCTCGCCAGAGAGACAGAAAGCAAGAAATCACCCCCCGGGGGGGGGGGGGCCACGGTGCAATCCCATCTCCTTCATTCTCCCCTCAGGATCTTGGGCATGCACACACACATGCCTGGTGTGAATTTTAAGCCACTGGGTCTGGGGCTTGAACTGTGGTTGACTACATGGGATTCCAGCAATTCAACCATTACAGCATCTGCTGGTCCCCTAACAAAGATTTTTAAAGCCTCTGCACTTATATGCAATTTTCTATTGAATCAAGGGCACAATAATGATATTTATAATTATGTGCACTGATTTGTTTCAGGCCCTTTATTGAGTGCTTCCTTCCACTTTTCAATTTAATTCTCCCAATACACCTACAGGGTAAGCATTGTTATCTTCAGTTGATAGATAAGAAAACTGAACACAAGTACACTGATGTATTCAGGATGGAGTTATGGTTTGTCTGTCCCCAAAGACCACACAACTAAACTCCCATGTAACCGTGCCTGCTTATTGGAGGCCACACTTTTATACTCACTTTTTCCCGCTGCCCAGTGATCTGTTTCTGCACTTCTTCCCTCTCAGAGATAGCTGACAAGATCTACAATCTGTACAATGGCTACACAAGTGGAAAGGAGCAGCAGACCGCCTACAACACGCTGATGGAAGTCTCAGCCTCCATGCTGTTTCGGGTCCAGCACCACTACAACTCTCACTATGAAAAGTTTGGAGACTTTGTCTGGAGGAGTGAGGATGAACTGGGGCCCAGGTATGGGTGTATGAGTATGGGCGGAGAGCTAATCCTTCTTACTCCCCATTGACTTTACTGGATCCTTTCTCTCATAGTCTGAGAATGAGCTTTATCAAATAAATAAAGGTGATAGTCACCTTTGTTGTGTCATGCCACAGGTGAAAAAAATGGGCAAAGACAATGAAAGAATCTTGACATTTTAGCTTCTTTTTATCCTGGGATCAGATAAGGAAGGGACTTGAGTGCTTTTCAGTCATTCCCCTTGCCAATCTCCCACCTCCAGTTTTACAGTAGGAAATTTAAGCTTCTTGAAGGCTTATTATTATAACCTAACCAATGCCTCTCTCACTCTTATATAAGAAATCTGAGTTTTTGTAGAGTAAATAACTACAGTCTTTACTAAAGTCCATTGGGGGCCAGCATATGGTGTAATGGTTACATCATCAGACTCCCACGTAGTCAACCATGGTTCAAGTCCCAGACCTGGCGGCTTAAATCTTATGCCAGCACATGTGTATGTGCATGCCCAAAAATCCCAAAAGGAGAATGGAGGAGAAGGGATTACAGCATGGCCAAGCCCTCTGGGAAGAGATTTTTCACTTTCTATCTCTTTGTCTTTCTCTGTCTCTCTGGCGAGTGCATGTACCCTATAGCAAAAATTTCTCTCTCTAACAAAACAAAACAACAAATGAATAAAGTCCACTAATGACTGTTATTATTCAGACAATGGCTTGGCCTTCAGAGTTTCATGTTTTGGAATTTGGTGTTGGGAAGTAGTGAAGCTTCATGGGATTGGATCATGGTGATTGCATCTATGGAGGCAACACTCTTGTGAATAGATTATTGGGTATTGGGAGACCCAGTAAGTTCTAGTTCTCGTGAGAAGGGCTTAGTTCTCACAAGAGCTGAGTGGTGTAAGAGAGAGTTGTCCACCGTTTGCTATCTCTCTGCACATGCCTGCCATCCTCTGTGCTTCTGTCAGCCATGCTGTAAGCTGGTCTGATGCCAGGCTTACATCTTTCCATCTAACAGGATTGTGTGTCAGTAAACTCCTATTTCTTCATAAAAATTACTTAGTCTCAGGCATTTCTGTTAACACCTCAATAAGACTGCCCATGACAAAATGAATTCATGAATTCACCATGTACAAGGGCACTATTTTTGTCCTCAACAGTGACTGTGTCATTCACTGTGCTAGAAGCCATGGAAAGTTCAAACAGAACTAAAGCATAATCACTATCTTCTAAAGCATCGTAAAGTAGTATATGAATGGTGGTTCCATTTTATGTCTTACATTGAGAGACATTCTTTCAGTCATTCAGCACGTACTTGACAGCACTGCTTATATGGTGGTTGCTGATGGTGCAACAGTAAAAAGGTAGAAACGGCTCCTATCTTCACGTAGCTTCCTATTGCACGTAATTACAAATAATAGGAGCAGTGAATTCCATGGTAGCAGAAGAACAGAACCATTGGGGAACATGAGATATAAGCACCTGGTGGTCTAGGAAACCCAGTGAAGGTTACCCAGAGGCTGAGACTCTGAAGCCTAAAGGCTGAGTCAGGGTTAGATAAATGGAGGAAGAGAAGGCTAGAGGTATTTTGGGCAGAAGAAATAGTCTAAGAAATGCTCAGAGGAGACAATGCTCCTTAAAATAGAGGTTCTCGTTTCAAATTTTTATAATTTCCCTGCCACCTTTATGACTTTTGTCATCTCACTATACCAAATTCCCTTTATTTGTTCAACATTTCTTTCTTTCTTAGATTCACTTATTTTTTTTTTTTTTTTAATTGGCCATAGGGACACAAGTTTGCTGGAGAGAAAGAGAGAAAGAGAAAGGAAAAAAAAAATAATGAGAAAGCATCTCCCAGGGGAATAGCAATGCTGCAGTCCTGTACTCCTTTTTTTGGGATTCTGGGCACATGCACACACATAACTTGGGTTGCTTCCCAAGCTGTTGGGTCTGGGGCTCAAGTCATGTAGGCAGCCATCTGGGATCCAGCCATCACAATCACCAAGCCACTAGTTGGCCCAAGATTCACTTCTTCTTTTTTTTTTTTTTTTTTCTTCCAAGATTCACTTCTAATTGAAAATATATTTGTAAAGAAAACACTGTCATCTCATAAAGAGAACATCAGCCTTATTTACTCTTAATAGAAAATTAAACCTAACCATTCAATATATTAAGAAAAAAAAAAAGAACAGAACAAAAGACAGAAAAGGATATTATTCCATCCTAGTAGAACCTGAAGCAATCCCTTTAAGAGAGAGATTAACACCTGAACTGTGAAAGACACAGACCCCTAACTCCTTCTCTTTTTAAAGTAATCTGGAGGAGAGGAAGAAAATGAAAGAGGTAATCTTACCACTTTTCTAAATGTGATCCATTGTTATTTAGTACTGAATCTGTGATCATCTTAAGTACCACCTAAAATCCTTTTCCCTCACCCTAGAGGGGACTCCTGCACTCCGGTAAACACTGGGGAGGAACTTCAGACTTTCTGTGTAGTTGGAACAAACTGCAATGACAGCAAGAGGGGTCAGTAGGGGCCAGATCTTGAATGCCCTTTAAGTAGGGTTAAGGAGTTTGGATTATCTCCCGAGGGAAATGGTAAACTTTGTATTTTTCGAGGTGGTGGTGGTGGGGGTGGGGTGTGATATCAGATTTTCAAGGGAGAAAGATCTCTCTGCCATGGAGTAGAGGACTCTAGGCAGGAAGGTGACAGTGAGACACTAGAGGCTGTTGTGATCCAGGATAGTGTCTGTGGCATTGTAGAGAAGTGAATAGCTTCCTGAAATACCAGGGACTTCAGACACTTTGTGGAAAAACAGAATTCAAGTACAAGTTTTTGGTGCACATTTTTCTCTTCATTTTAATGTCAGAGGATATATGCACAAACACTGGGGAGAGGAAGAGAGCGAAAGCACCCTCCTAAGTAGGATCTGGACATCCTGCAATTGTTTTATCTTCAATTCTCTATCCCATCAGGAACCTGGCACATGTGTTTTTTCAACCACACTCTGGTTGGACATGTGAGATCAAGCTTCCTCTGCATGGCACCTAACCACTGCACTACAGGGTCAGCTCTAATACAAAGAAACTTTTGAAATTCATGCATGCTTTTTTTCTTATAATATACATTATTCATAAACTTCTTGAAGATCTACTCATATTATGAAAAATATTATGCATGGATTTCAAAAATTTCTTGGACCAAATTTTATTTCTATTATTCTAATAATTGTAAACCCCCTTGTATTTAATGGGCAGTGCTTTGTGCTTTAAAAGTCTTCAAATGGGGCCATCCAGTGTTGTGGAGGTTAAGGTGGCTGAATCCCACATGGCTGACTCTGCATTTGGAGTACTAGACTTGGTGGCTTGAAAATCATGCCAGGCGCATGTGCATGCATGCCAAAAAAATCCCAAGAGGGAGAATGGAGAAGAGATTGCACCATGACCATCCCTTCCTCTGGCGGGGGGAAGGGGTGATTTCTTACTTTCCCCCTATAGCAAAACCAAAACAAAAAATTCAAAATGGCCCTAGAGGCATTTTCCCCATTATTTTGGATACGAAGTGAACACGCCAGAGGTTTAAATGAACTGCCCAGGGCTGCACAGTTTGACAAGCGAGGCTGTTTCAACCTTGAGCTCTCCTCCGGAACCCTTACTGCACTTTCAGTGGCCTCTAAGAATTTGAGGCCCTCAAAGGATGAGACGAGAGTTTGGTCAAGAGATTAAAGGGCTCTCTCTGGGGTGGGCTTTATCATTTTTTTGGGTCCTGGACTTTAACTTCTTCCTTTTCACATGAAAGGAACATTCTTTAGATAAAAGCTAAAAGAGGGTAGCAGGGAAAAGCACAGAGCCCCAGATGAAAACCAATGGGTAAATTATCATGGCTGCCATCTTGCCTGTGGACAGAAAAAGGCATTTCACTTTATTGGGCTTTCCCATACGGCTCAGGGAATTTCAGTGGAGGCTAAACCAGAGCTCCACTCCTGAATTTGTCTTAACAGCCTGCTGGCATCCTTTATGGCCTTCCAGGACATAAATCTTCTAGAAAGGCCTCCTGGCTACTCACAGCGACAGGGCAGTCCACTGGGTAATGGACTGTGATAACCCATCAACCTCCAGTCAGCCAGTCACCAGCCACTGTCTGCCAGCCCACACCCATGTATCCTGGCTCCCTTTCTCTAGTATTTCTTTCTTTCTTTCTTTCTTTTTTTTTTTTTTTTGGAGAGGTTTTTCACTATAGGGCACATGCACTCACCAGAAAGACAGAGAGAGACAGAAAGCAGAGAGACAGAAAGCGAGAAATCACCCTTCATGGGGGATGGCCACGCTGCAATCCCTTCTCTTCCATTCTCCTCTCAGGATCTTGGGCACGCACACACATGTGCCCGGTGTGATTTTAAGCCACCAGGTCCAGGACATGAACTGTAGTCGACTACATGGGATTCCAGAGACATAGCCATTATGCTAACTGCTGGTTCCTTTCTCTAGTATTCCTAGACGGAATCTGAGATTGCTCCAACAGCCTACACTGGCGAGTCAACAGAAATCATGGGAGCAGCTAATCCATCCTGGGACTGCTAGTAATCTCACTGTGCAGCCTCAGACTCTGCCCCTTCCTGGTCCTCAGTCTCCTCATCCATAAGATGACCAGGATGGACTCGTATAATGCTACTTTTTTTTTTTTGCTTTGTTTTGTTTTAATCAGTAGAATTTTTTCCTAAATAAATCTTAACACAAAACACCCAGTCTTAGAATATCACGTCTTCAGAGAATTCTCTAACATTTCTACCTGATAGCTTGATCACACTCTTATGTTTTAATTCACTGCATTATATTAATAAGTGTAGTATCTTATATTGTTTTTGTTTACTTATGTATTATCTCTCTTCCCCGCTGCAATATAAGTTATGTGTAGGTCCTGACCCTTTATGTCCTATTCCCTTTTGTAAGCAGGTAATGAATAATTACTTGTTAAATAATTAGACAATAGGATGAGTAGTCATG